CCTATAGATGCGTAAATACGGTAATAGGGACAACTACACTGTAGTTTATAAACAGAATTTTTGCATTATATAGTGCGTCTCGTTGAAGTGAAACAAATATGAAGCCCGGAATTCTTAGGGCCGTCAATATGAACGCTTGTCTTCTGGCGTGTAGCCTCACACACCAAATTGCAGGGTATCACATAACGAAAGAATCGTAACCTTGATTCTGTTTCAGGGGTAACTATGGTTAGTAAACGAACTAAACTTGTATTCATATTCATAAACCATCCTCACTGTTTTCACACCGTAGGCCTACAACAATTTCGAGTTATTTTTAAAGAGTGGTAGTGCGCGAATTTCATATCGTTCTGTATACAGGACCGTATAGGTGCATATACATATCTACCATAATAACACATACGTGCATTTTACGACTAACTGTCCCTGTACCTGAATAATAAGCACTATGCTGTAGAGGCGTATGAAGAAATGGATGTAGGGCCAATAGATCCACGTTTTATTTAACTCGGTATTGGACCACCATTAGGCTTGTATTCAAAATAGATCTACATACATCTTTATCTTATATCTGTTTCTAGTTAAACGTTAATTAAACTGAAAATCGCCATTTTAATGAATACGGCATAAGATCACAAAGAAGGTCCTGAAGTGCTCAGAACATGATATTTCGGAAATAAAGAAGTTATAGCCTATTCTAATGTGCAGCATATTATCACGATTTATGCGCGATTATAGACAGAGTTTTGGATAATTGGATTTACTGTCCACTTACAGATCGTAACTACAAATATCTATAACACTATCGCTGATTTCCACATTACATATCGCTCCACGTTGTCTTCTTCAGTCTGCTTTCACCAATCGTTGCTTAGTAACAGCTCTCAACAATGGCTATTCCTCTGCTTCTGTGCTTAAGTCCCGTACAGAACTGACTGCTAACTATCAACTGACAACTCAACTATAGTGCCATCTCTACTCAGCCCCTTTGCATAGCTCCACTGAACTGGTTATCCCATTTCTCTTCTTTTTAACTCCGCGATCCGGACCACGTAGACAACACACAGTTTCCCCTGTTGCATTTGTAACCGTTGCCCAGAAACGGGTTTTATATTCGCCAATCTCTTGGTCATTGCATAGCAACAGCTGTACACGATGTAATATTATGAAACATTTATAAGAAGAAGAAGACATTTGCATGACGTTTGTGCAGTATTTTTGAAATGAGCGTTCCAATATTTACCCCCTTTTCTTCCCCCCAAAAGTTTTCTGGATGATATGGCAACATTTTCATCTTCAGAAAACACGTCGGCAACGAAGGTGTTAAAATTTGGACTAAGAACATAAATTAGTTAAGCTTATTTAAATTTTTTTTAAATGTTACATATATTTTACTTTTTGTTGTCATCTCCCAAAAGCCAAATTCTAAAATTGTTCTCATTAAATTGTAAAAATATGGAATCCTATGGCAGATTTGTTGATATTATCTTCATGGCATAAAATTTATGAACCTCAAAGATGTATAATTTGCAATTGAAATGGAAAAATATGTATGCATTCTCATATATAACTTCAGGCAGTCATACAGCTCATGGCCTAAAGTGATCACAGGATTTCAAATCAAATATCACTGAAAGACGCTACATACCAAATGTGATAATAAAAGTGGATCTCCAGACAAACAAGGGGGCGGGCAAATTCGGCATCCACATAAGACTTTCTTTGTATGATGCCTATGTGCAATGGAAGTGATAAGACCTTACAAATGCATTTCATTGAACCAGTGTTTTATAAGGCTGTATATAACAGAGGTTTCAAACGAGATATGCTAGAAGGTCTTTGAAAGTTGACATACTGGCACAATTCTTTCTGATAAACATAGTCAAATTTTTCTTTTAAAAATAAAATGGTGTTCTAAATTAACAAGACAAAAACCAAATGGAAGCAAGGTATGACTAATGGATGTCATATCCACCTTGTAGATAATAGGCAAGTTTAGGGAGAATGAGGCCAAGGACATCTGCAGAATGATTACAGTTTAAATACCTTTGTCCATACAAACATAACACCTGCCAATTTGTATACATATACATAGCTTCATTTCTGGCTATCCCACATCGTGATCTCAAGGTGAGTTCTTAATAACAATAACTGGTGTAGTATAAAGTGTAGCACTTCTGTTATATAAAACTGTGTGAACAATGCACTGTCAGATATTAGTGCCCGGCTATGTAACATAAAAATAATGTTAAAAATGTTACTAAAAGTGACAAGATCTAAAATTAAGAGAATTTCAGTGACATGGTGGTAGGTCTTGTCAAACGAAGTAGCAACATTTTCAGATTTATAATTCTAAGAATATCATCAATGCAACTATGTATTATTAATAGCTCTTTTATTTTTACCCACTACTTGTTTCAAACATATTTCTGGGTAATCTTCATGTGGTATACACTCTTAAAGTTCAATCATATGGATCATCACACAATTCATTATAATAGAACTTGGTACCCTTGTTAATAAGCATTTTTTTTTCTGTGGCGCTACAGCCCCAATTTGGGCCTAGGCCTACCTCCATGAAACTCTCCGTTTCACTTCGGTTTACTAGATCTTACACATTCGGTAGGACTCCTTGGGCGAGTGATCAGCTCGTCGCAAGGCCTCTACCTGTAGACAAACACAGAATTGTCACATTGACTATGATTATTCTCACGCATTGGGTTTGCTAGGACTTATTAGTGTCTTCTTCATTTCTGAATTTACGGATTAGGCCTTTTGTTGAAATTGAAACTTTCGGAAAATATTATTAGTGTAGACAACTGTTAGGACTTCTTAGGCAAAGAATCTGCCTATGGCAAAGCCTCTATATACACAGGATTACACAACATTCAAATACCTTCAAATCTGGAGTGGGATCCAAACCCACAATCACAATGTTCAAGTGGCTGATGACAGTTATGTGTTTTAGACCGCACGGCCACTCTCATTACTTGGTCTTCTCTTGAGATTCGTTTACACATTACCTTAATACGGTCAAAGAATGCTTCTGTGGCCTAGAAGACCCAGGTTCTGGCATATTTTAATAAACGTGACAGTATGAAACGAATGTCATGATCAGTTTATTCATTTAAGTTTTCCTCGGAACCATGATCAAATTTTGAATCTTTTAAATTTTAGAATATTTTATTCTAGATGACGACATGTAATTTTATTTTTTGAACAGGACCAGCTGTTGGTCTATTAAGGATACAGTTGCCCTCCTTATGTTCAATAAAGAGACTAGAGCACTTCCCACTTTCAATTTGAGAATACTTCCCGTCTTGGCCCTTCAAGGTGTATCGCAGCTGCCTATTTTTAGATACTTAAAAAATACGTCATTTTTCGAGGTTGTCTTTCCTCCCTCAGTACCATTTATATCTCCGTTCCCATTAAAAGGTAAAGTTGTCCCTGTGCTTAACTAATTAAGCACTATGCCATGAAGGTGTATGTATAGTGGATATATAGTTCCACATTTGCTTGACCTCAGCACGAATTGGAGGTAAATGGTCAGCTTCACGCCCCGGCCGCTCTACCCCCGAGGAAAGAGCCCCCGGTACCCATTGTATACGAGGTTGGGTGGACCCCAGAGCCGATCTGGACGACATGGAGAAGTGAAAATTCTTGCCTCACCGGGACTCGAACTCCTGATTCCTCTGTCCTCCAGCTCATAGCCAGTCGGTATACCGACTGAGCTATCCCGGCTCCTCTTTGTTCACATTAATTTATTTTAACTATTATTTTTTTTTAGTTTTGCATAGGTCTGTCATTAGCTACTTGTCAGCAAACACTCAAATAAATACAATGAATTATTATTATTATAAAAAAGTAAAGCTATCCTGTACCAGGCCGTGAAGGCCCACAGGGCTGTGAGGCGTTGAGGGTCCCACACTATCTAGAAAATCGGCTCAAAGATGGCGGTAAGGTTGTCAGCCTTACGCACCGGCCGCGCTTTACTCCCCAGGAAAATTATTTAATTAATCCCTGGTACTCATTTCTGTTAGAGGCTGAGTCGACCCCAGGGCCATAGTGCGGCTGGAAGGCTTAAGTCAACTGAAAGAAATCCAATGACCTCGTCGGGATTTGAACACGCGACCTTCGGGCTTGTAGCATAGCCCCTTAACCAACTAAAAACCGCGTGCCCTTATTATTATTATTATTACGTTGAAGATTGAGTAGCGTTAGAGCCCCTTGCTTAAGAGGAAAGAGTGTGCTCCATCACTAAACTAATATACAAAGTGTTTCACGACTTTAGGGCATACCTGCAGGAGGTGATTTCCTAGGTCTTTGTGATCAAAAAAGTTCATATAAACATGTGTCCGATTTTGGACGGTTACGGAGTTATGACCGTTTTAAACTCAGAATAGAAGGTAACGATTACTGATAACAAACGGAACAAAACAATAAACCAGCATAATACATGATACATTTAAAGTATGAACGTAAAGTTAACTTCGTGAAATTACCTTTAATTTGAATTTATTGGTGCTTAAACCTGATTTTCGAAAATGCCACCGCCGGCCGCAACACAGGCTGCCGCTCAGTTGTGAACCGCGCGGGTAGCACGTAGCAGCTTCAGCTGCCTGTTTCTTATGTGGTCAGCGGCGTCCAGAATGCGACCCAGCAAAGCATCTCGGTTCACACGATGACGTGTACGGGAATGAAAAAACAGTCATAACTCCGTAACCGTCCAAAATCGGACATATGTTTATATGAACTTCTTCGATCACAAATACCTAGGAAATCACCTCCTGCAGTTATGCCCTAAAGACGTGAAACACCTGTATACCTCTGCTTCTGTTTATGTTCTGTAGACGCATGGGAACGGATGTGGCCCGTTTGCTTACACCTGCCACTTCTGCAGTTTGCAAGGCCTGGGCTGGGAGACTGGTTTTTTCAAAACTATGAATTTGAAATCAGAACCAAGCGTTCATCTTATAGTAAAATAACGAGAAGAGCGTCACCTTTTATTGAGGAATGTAAGAACGTTGACTTCGCCAACTCCAGCCACTAGATGGGACCAAGCAATTCTCGCTTGAGAGTGACGTCTGTCTATTGCTGCTTGACGTCTCATTGCTTCCTCATTGGTCACAGTTATTCCTCTCACAGGAGATTCACTGCTGACTTGCACAGAACTTCGCCTTGAACCGGGCGTTAAGAAATCTCTAAAGCCCCATGCGAAATCTTCGAGACTTACTTGACCATCACCGTCATGGTCTAGGTCAGCGAATATTGCATCGGAGTCAACGGTATCTATGTCAAAACCAGCACATAAATCGCGGAATTCCGATGGTCCTATGTGACCTGTCCCTCGTTTGTCGCAAGCACGGAACAGCTGTTCAAGTTGACTTTCGCTGGCCATTGTGGCAGTCAATCCGTCGGAGTTATGTAAACGCGGGAGCACGGAACTGGCGTTAGCACTTAACGGCACGGAGGTTATCGAAAACTGGAGTATTTGCCGTTTCACTCAACTGAAGTGGTTATTGCTTACTGCTGTGCATGCACAGTCGCATATAAAAATGAATGACGTATGTTTGTTACACATGGCCAGGTGGCGATATGACGTCACAAGGTCGTATAATAGAAACGAACAATTATAAGTACGTTGATGTTCAAGCGACATCGGATATAATTCTTTGTTTTACATAATGGACAAGAAACGAGCTTAAAAGACCTACACTCAGTAGGGGGGGGGGGATACTTCGCTCTTTGAATCTTGCAAAATTTACTTTAAGAACGGTTTTCGTCTTTTCTCTCCCGGAGGAAAGCAATGACAACACCCAGGTGTAACAGTGCTGTACTCCTGCTCACTCCAAGCATGTATAAAGAGAAGTCATCTCCACAGTTCCCAGGGTTTAATTCATATGCAAGGTAATTTTAATTATCTAAATTCTAGCCCACACGTGAGTAATATTTTCAATGTAGGGTCAAATAAGAAGGTAAAAGATAAACACCCAGAAAAGTAAGTAAAGTTGTCCCTCTGCTTAACTAATTAAGCACAATGACATGAAGGCGTATGGGGGAATGAATGTATAGACCCACATTTTCTTGACCTCAGCACTAACTTGAGATGAATGATCAGCCTCACGCCCCTGCCGCTTTACCCCGGGGAAAGAGCCACCGGTACACATCGGATACGAGGTTGGGTGGACCCCAGAGCGGGTCTAGAGGATGTGTAGAAGAGAAAATTCTTGATCCTACCGGGACTCGAACTCGGGCACCCAACACTGCCTTGCTTTGTTCTGCAATACGCATAGCTGCTCAGACACGTGTCGTCAAATTCCTCCACCATGCTACCTCAAATACATCGTACTAAAGCTTCAGTTAGGTAAGGCCGCGATAGATTCGGTCCGGCCCGAGCTACAAAAGACCATAAAGCAACGGGCGGTAGATGATCTTGCGTCCGTTGACCAACAGTCACAGGGCCTGCGTAAGGAACCCGACTCGAGGATTGGAGAAACACGGTGGGATTTAGAGATGTCACTCGTCAAGCGGACAAGGAGCCTTTATGAGGTCGCAGACACAAAGAGGGATCTGCGTGAGATGGCCAACACGAAGAGGGACGTTCATGTTGAGCTCGACCATATTGGAAGGACGAACTGCCATACAAGGAACGAAGTAAAAGCTACCCGACGAGAACGCAGATCGGAGTTGGAACTAGTCTGAAGCCCGTACGAAATCCGGAGCGTGCCAGAGGACAGGAACCGAGCGAGCACGGCGAAGCCATCTAAGTTCGATGAAATTACATCATAGGACGTGTTCTGACGCCAGTTCGAGACCGTAGCGGGGAACAATTGCTCGACACCCCGGGAGAGGCCCACATACCTGATCGTCGCCCTGCAGGGCGGGGCCTACGATGTCCTACACGAAATCCCGAAAGGAGCGAACTATGAGGAAACCCTTGAGACCCTCAAGGACCCCTTCGGGGACCAGCACCTGGACGCCGAGAATCGTTGTCAGCCGCAAACGAGGAGACTGCGCGTTGGAGACTTGCTGGCCCACCGCGCCTACTCTGCACTATCTGAGGGCCATGTGAGAAGAGAGGCAGGCAAGACGTCCGCCGAAGGGGCAAAAGAACACGATCTAAAAAACCAGCTGCAGCTGGGACAGAAAACAGTGAACGAGATTCTCAGGTAGGCCCTCGAGCTGCAGACAGTGTTCCCAACAAACAGGCCCCGAAAAACGAGCACTAGACCATTCTGGAAGAGCCAGTGCCCCTCAACCGGGCGAAGTGACCAAAGACAACCGCGTGCTGGAACTGTGAGAAGCCAGAAAACTTCTAGGGTAACTTACCCTAAAAAATGGAAGAAGACGACGGACGGTGGAAACGAAAAACGTTCGGAAAGAGAACGGAAGTCGGAGCGAAGAAACGACAGACAGCCGGAACAGAGGATACCACGTGTATAGGGTTAGAACGACTAGGGGACCATGTTCACCAAGGACCAAGTGTAGCAGAAGGGAACACCCTGTCTGCTGGCAGTGTTAGAGTGTCGATCATAATAGGAGACACAGCCAACCGGGATGCCCCAGGAACACGTCACTGAAGAGAATGTTCGACCAAAAGGACGGGACAAAATCGAAGAAGGAAGCGACCGGTTCAACCCTTGTGCCTCCTCATTAAGCCCTCAATGTGTGATTAAGACAGCCATGGGAGTCTACACGCTTACGGAGGAATAGGGAACAAAGAATGTCTGGTGACTACTGACATAGGAACATGGCATGCAAATCACACAATGTATCAATATTTCAACAGTTTTCTGTACTAAAGACATTCATGCTACAACACCATCATTCCCACATACAATTGCTTAATCCAGTTTGGCAAGTTACAGAAGATAACTAAGGCCAAACAACTGAAAAATTTTACTATTACTATAAAAACTGCAAAAACAAACAGACCATTAATATTCTAATGCCCCGAAGATGAAGGCTGAGGGTTCCTCAAAAACACTGGTACCTATCCATCAGGCTACATTATGTCATGTACCAGAAGACCTTAGCCTTAATATCATTAATTATTTATAAAGTAATATACATGTAACACATCACTGTAACATCAAAACTGACTGAACAATTACAATTAAGATTTTAGGTTTTCACAGCAGTGACTCGCTCGCCAATTTCTTCTTTTTCTTCTACCCTAAAGGCGGAGGCGATACGTTCCTCCGAAACGTCGGTTAACACAATATCTACACGGCGCCACATCCCAGAAGACTGTTTTCTTTAATTACAATTAACATAACAATTTGAAATTACAACCCAAGCACAACAATAAATATAATTCCCAGAGTATAATGAATATGTATTTTTTTTACCGTCAACAAAACAATACTTTCTTATTTATTTATATAGCATGCACCACATGTTTCGATGTCAAACGTGCAATCTTCAGGTGCTGTAAGTTTCTCACATACCATTATCAAACTGCTAACATTCCCGCTTTTATAAATGGTCCATACAAGTTAGTTTCCATTCAATTCACAGAGTATACCCAAAACCATATTTCCCTCAGTCATCAAATCAGAAGAAACACACGTCACAACTTACATTGTCTACAACATAACATTAACAGAAGATTAAATGAAATACGGATGATAAGACAACCCAATTAAATGCCAATATGTAGATGAATTATATTTTAATGTAATATAAAAACTGTACATCCCATTCAACAGCACATTCTGAAGGAACTGTTCAGTATTAAATAAGAATCTCAATACAGAATGACATATAACAACACATTTGTTTTTGTGGGTTATTATAACAATGCTTTGAGTATCAACACTATATGGTGTAAGATGGTAGGATGACTAATGAATTCAAAAGATCTGGAAGAAAAAGGGTCATGGCCTAATCAAGATACTATGTGGGCATTTTCGTGGATGGACTTGGGAAACCACAAAAAAATCATTCAGGTGAAATAAGTGTCCTGGCCAATATTGAATTGAAGCATCTCACAAACATAATTCTGGAGCTTCACCTCTAGTTCATTCTGTCTGGTAACAACATACTAAATGAGTATAAAACAAGATTAAATAATAATATATATGTCCTATACAACAAATGTAATATTTCATTGCAGTTTTAAAATCATTTTTAGACTTTCAGATTCCATGTAAAGCAGTATCTAGGACAAACTAATTTAAACATACACAACATCCAAGAAATAAGCAAGATTTGAGATTTACACAGGGGTGACCATACAGAATGCCATCTTCTGGGATGTGGTGCAGTGTACATCTTGTGTGAACCAACATTTTGGAGGAATGTATTGTCTCAATCTTCAGGGTATAAAAATCCACTGGCGAGGAACCAGCGTGAGCAGGTGGCTGCAGACTGAGCCACCAGTCTAAACTACTAAGCTATATAAAAACAGGGAGGGAGGGAGGGAGGGAGAGTGAGCCACGTGGGAAATCAATGGAAAGGAGAGGGGTAGGGTCTGCGGAGATGGGCGGACAGAAGGCCAGAGCCGGTAGAGGATCCTTGTTGGGGGGGGAGCCAGGGCTACCAAGCAAGCAATGACCCAGTAGCCTCAGGACTAGACTGCCGAGTGTGCACTGACCTGCGTAGCCTTTTAGATCTGGCATCATGTTCAGGAGGTGTCTTGAGGGAGCAGATGAGGGGCTTCCATAACTTGCTGAGACAAAAACCAACCTCTCCATTCAGCAAGTCATGGAAGCCTCTCATCTGCTCCCTCAAGAAACACCCTGAACACGACGCCGTATCTACAAGGCTACACAGGTCAGTGCTCACTCTGTAGCCCTGACTTCCCACCCCACCAATCTCTACTGACCCCACCCCTCTCCTCTCTACTGATTTCCCATGTGGCCCACCCTCCCTCCATTCTTATATAGCTGGGTGTTTTCAACTGGTTGCTCAGTCTGTAGCCACCTGCTCACATTGGTTCCTCACTAGCATATTTATCTATCTTGAAGACAGAAGCGATATGTACCTCCGAAACGTCGGTTCACACAAAATCTACATGGCGCCACATCCCAGAAGACAGCATTCTTCATCCCAGAAATAAATACAGAAAATTGGACGGTGAGTGCCATGACCAAGAAGAACAAAAGTAATTTATATAAACATGCATCCACAGATGTTCCAGTAAAAAACTAGAGCCATTTGAATATGTTACAGGAATATTAAGATCAGAAATGTGGTTACAAGTGTCCAGACTGGGTCTGTGGCCTGCCCAACCTCCTATGCAATGAGTACCTTGGGGGTCTTTCTCCAGGGTTGAACCAGCAGGGGCATGAACCTGAGAACTCAGCTCCATCTAGTGCTAAGGTCAAGAATGTAGAAACTACACCTCCACTCCCCCATATATCTTCATGACATGAGAGATAACTTTACATACTTGTATGCTAGCGACACTTTTGGAGGAAACTGGAGTTCAGAATGAATGACTACTTGACTTTCATCACAATCACCTTCCCCATTCAGTACTGAAACACAATCATCATGGTATTCCCTTCAAGTGACAGCAAAATTTCAGTTGCAAACGTAGCTCTAACATCACAGGACAGTACACCTTGGGTTAAACATCTGTCAGACAAACATTATAAAAGACATAAGAGTTCTGTTCAAGAAATAATGCAACAACTGGCAAAAAAAAACATAGTTTCACGTTCCAGTGATAGGGTTTCAGCAAATACTCAAAATGTCGACCTTGTACATGCTTCAGCCCAACAACGCATGGATTGACATACTGAAAAATGTCTGGAGTGATGTGGGTCAGAGTATAGCTATTCTGAATGCACTACAGCAGTCCCTCTGGAATGTGCACGGCTGTAGCATATACAAAATATTTTTTTGATATCCCCAAAGGATCAAATCATGTGGATTCAGGTCTGGTGAACAACTCAGCTAGGGTCCCTGTCTTCCTATCCTTTGCCCAGTACTGGCAATCACAAGGCAATTTGTGGAGGCATAACTGATACATGCTGTGCCACCATCATGGATGAATCACATTTCATCATATATCCAGTGGGACAGCATCCAATAACTCTATGTGATAAATGCTGGTATGGTGATTCTCCTCTATGCATTTTGGTATGTGCATTCCTCTGTATTCTGCAGTCTGCTATTGAAAGGCAAACAGAACCTGCCTCCCTGATCCAACGATCAATGGTGTGAAACACATGTGGGTCCAAAGTCTACACTGAGGATAACAGTCTTGTACAATATTATATCTCAGCATCCTGTCGCACTCTACACGATAAATGATACACACTCCGTCCCAAGTGCAAACAATATATATTATATGTCTTTGATCTTGTTCTCTTCTACACTACATGTTTCGGCCTCTATCGGCCATCATCAGGTGTATACTCTTAACGTTGCTGCCACACTGAAACCCAGTCTAAAATTTAACATTTAAAAACACATTGTTATTTTCTTCGTATTATCAACATCTACCTCATTGATATGTGTCTGGTATGTAGATTATATTGCACACGTCAAATTTTCCTGTAGTAGCACTATAAACTCTTTAGTTATGATTTTAAAATCCTTTAAAATTTTCTCTAAATTTTAAATTTAGAATTTAAAATTGTTAGGGTTACTCGCCCTACGTCTAAAGTGCTGGAGCGGCTAGTTCTTGTTCCACACTGTACAGGTGTTATTCTGTGTGGTCTTCCTGCGTGCGTGCCGCTGCTTGTCTTTACTACGTGTCTTGTACAACCTTATGGCTGTTGCGCCACTGCTCTGCTGAGAATTACATGCATATCAACATGTGCTCAGAATGAATACTTACCCATTTTAAGCAGAGGCTTACAAAGCAACTCTGACATTGAAAAGACATCATTTGACTGTATATCCAGTTCACTGGAAATAAATACCTGATGATGTACATGGTCAACTCACTGTCACTGTCAAATGACCTCATGTTCTGTTGCTAATGCGGAGGATGGTAGTGATAAAAGACACGCAGTAATTCACATCACTGTGAACTTCAATTTCCTTCAGAAGCATCCCTAGCATAGTTAATTTTGTATCTACAGTTCTAATCCTACTGTTGCTAGAACACCTTCAAGTGGCTCTACTTCATTACTACGGCATATACGGACTATGCTTATATAAACTTCATGCCACAGTACTCAACCTCCAATTTTCTGTACTTATTTCTGGAACATGCTGCACTGTATTGCAAATTATAAAATCTCTGTGAATTGTAATGTTTCCATACGAAATCGTTATCAAATAGGCAATCATTCATGTTCAAACACTGTTAACCATCAGGATGACAGATGACAATGAAAGAACAATACACTCTAACACAAAGTGTTGTATTCCACCATCTTCAATTATCCATATCATTAAAATACACATATAAAAATAACTAACACTATCAATGAATGTTTTCTTGAATAATATGAAAGCTGTTTAATCCATTATCTGAAACATAAAGTCTGCAGACATATATCGGAGTAAAATGTCAGTTAATAACATTTCAAAAATTAAATGAATAGTTCAATCAGCTCAAATCCCTAGAATATGCTCACATGTCACGAGACCTCCAAACAGAATCCACTAGGCTGACATACAGCAATTATCAATGCAAAGATGGTATATATACCGCTTCAAAAGAAAATTCATGCGAAAATGTATCTTAGTTATTAATAATAAAATGAAATTATACTGAACATTACAAGCAATACCGATATATTGATGAATCAATGAAAATAGATGATGTGCTTCATGTACCTTGTTACCATCACCAGTATAGTGACAAATGCTTGCTCACCTTTCAGACCGACACAGGGATGAACAACAGACCTCAACATTTAAAGCTTTCATGTGTTGCTTTCTTAATATTATACAAATAGAAGTTTTCATAAAAAAAGTCTTATAATTTAGGGAAAAAACCATGTCAGCATGGTTCATTATGCAGGTATTTACAAATGCATTTCAAGATATGAAACTTATGTACAATGGTGGAAATGAAGTTTCAAAAACATGCACAAGTTTATGAAAAATTAAGAAAATGATATATAATTATAGTCACCTGTAATTCTTCCACTTCCACATCTGATGTTAATTACTGATGTCATAACTTAAAGAATTAACACAATATGCTGGTGGAATATTAATTCTTTTGCACCATTCAAGTACGCCAAAAATTTGGGTTCTGTTGTAGCCTTCTTTCGAAGTTACTGTACCATAACTGTAGGACTGACAGCGGAACAAATGTTTCATTTGGATTTGGTGTCATCTGCGCAAAACTGGAAGCATAATTCAAGAAGTTCTCCAACATCTTCTGACAAAACTGCATAAAATTGCTTGTGGTCTGGCTTGTTACCAAAGCTGACTGTTGTTGAACATGTAATATGGGTTCTATTGATATTCCAATTTGAGCATTATGAGAGAATGACTGCTGGCCAAATGTATTCAGGTTAGGTCCCATATCATTGCTGCCAATAGATCCCTTCTTCATGTTGCTTATTTTGAAGATAGTTGATGGTTTATCCTCTGCTAAATGACCTAACAGCTGCCACACTGGAGGAGCATTTGGATCAGGCCAACTAAAATAAACTGAAATTACATCATTAATACTGTTTAACAACATTCTAATTCTTTTTTATATTTTAATGTCCTCCAGGACAGATAGCTGAGGAGATGGGAGAATAATGTTAAGATATATATTAGGGATGCAGTTATGGGGTTGTGAGGTAAATAGAAATGGCTTGTGATCATGTCCAATGGCAGACATGGAATCATCGGTACTGAATGAACCGTATCAGTGTCAGTTAAATGATTTTAATACTAACCTAAAGCTCCCATGCCTTGTGGAAACGGAATGGTTCCAGTCATGAATACAGCAATATGGTTGATGTTGTCAGCATCATGGATTGTTGTTACAAACTGAGTTTCCCCAACCTGCTCAAAACTCTGAACCTGCAACACAGCAAAAGCAAATTTTCAGAACATATGTTTTACTCACTGAATATAGATTGAATTGATTATAAAGTATACATATAACTGAATATGGAGATGGTGAGACAGTGATACCGGGCAGAAGTAGAAAGAAAATTCAGACCAGAAAAATGATAAAATGGACTCCACCAACTGCCAAAACAGTAGTCATCATCTGAATTCAGTCCACACCTAAACAAACCATTTCTCTAAGGTTAAATTTAATATTATCCTCCCATCTATGACTAAATCTGAATTCTGACAGACATTTTGCATGCATTTTTTATATCTCCTAGTATATTACATGTCCTAACCCTCTAAACACCCCCTCTATTGTTATGTCAAAGAATCAGTTCAAGTTAGAGGCCCTTTGTTACAATTCACATCAGACATTTAGTGTTGATTAGTTTTTTGCAGTCCCCCATCCAACAATATGTTTAATATATCTTACAGAACATACTGCTGCACAAGAGACTGCAAAAAACTAATCAACACTATAAAAAGCGCAACAAGATGCAATATAATATCACATCAGACATCCTTTCAATGTTAAGTGGTTTGTTAGCCCCACATTGAAAACCATGAAAGGAGAACTACCACCTGCCAACTGTCTGAAGCTTATTCAAAACAGAGCAGCCATGCATACATACAGAATCTCCATCAACAGTCTCAGAATATGTCATATTATGGTAACATATAACCAGTGCTTGAGGTGGAATGAAAATAGAACCGGGATGGTTTTCCCCTTTTAATTCATAGACATACTGTACATTGCATTTACTGCCAAAGAAGTAACGGGATGCTTTTAAGCCATTTAGAAAAGAACCGGGATGCCATCCCGCCCCACCTCAAGCTCTACATATAACCCATATAACATGGTACTGAATATTATGGTCAAGTAGTCAGCATTCTTGCTTCACACTTGTCCTGAAAACTAGCTATCCTAACTGAGGTTCTTTTGTAATTTGCCTAAATTCTTGCATGTAAATTCTGGCATAGTACCTCAAATTAGCCACAACTGCTTCCTTTTGCATCCTCTCCTATTCATCATTCAATAGCTACCCATACATTCAACACCATCTAATCAGAGGTATTGAAATTGTCATTAAAGAACAAAATACATAAACATAAAACTTAAAAGTAAATATGCATTTCCAGCTGAGACTGAACTGAACGAAGATAGACTTTTAAGGGGTGCTTTACAATATGCTGACAGACAAATGTAGCATTCACAATTAGTGAGCAGCAACTGCTATTCTACTCTAAACCATTATACACAGTTGGCTTATAAAATTCGGTATGTCAAAATATCCTATCAGGTAACTGCATTCAAAACAAGATATTACAATGTGTGCACATATAATTTACTATCATTTTCAAGTTAGTTATTTAAAATGCTATCAATATCAAGACTATATAGCAATGATGATGGGATGATTGATGAATGTGAAGCCTTTAATGGAAATAGAACCAGGACACGAAACCAAAGAACTCAGAGAAAACCTGCCCCAGTGCCAGTATTATTTTGAACAAAAACTCTGTTGCAAAGGAAAAAACAAATGGTGCTGTACCCAAAAGGGAACCAAATATGCATTTACATCACTTCAGCTGCCTACAAGCAACAATTATAGCACTTTTTCTTATATATGGTAACATATGGGCCACTGTTTAGAATATTCTACATAGGTTTCAGTAATTTAGCTTATTCTGAGAGACATGTCAGCTTCACTGCTTGTCTGTTACATGTTCAAACTACATTATTTATTATAAAGGATATATGTTCATTCCTCTTTTATGATTTTATAAAAAAGGGAGACCTGATATGCCTGTGTGCCTATCTATCCTCATCCTGTTACTGCCTGGACCAATGGATGTTGTTCAAATTTAGTATTAATATCAGCTCTTTGGATTCAACTTCTGTTCTATACTGATCAATTCTTTACCTTAAATAATTCAAACAGTTAAGCCACTGAACCTCTGGGCTATTGTACAACTGAATTCTGTGCTCTTGAATTTTATGTGGTGATTATCTTCAACAATTGCAAATCTGCTGACAGATTTTATTTTTTGTATAATGTGAAATACACCTTATGATTCAAAATCTGTAATCACTTTCCATTTTGCGCAACCAGGAATGTGAAATTTTGTATGGAGACAATCATAAATAGAAATACACATTTTGCATCAAGCATTTTTCATGGTAAGAACTACAAGTATGTTACTGTTGCACGCGATTGAGGTTATGCTTGTCAACTAGCAAAAATAGTAGTCATACTAACTGAAAATGAGCAAGGCGTAATTTTATTTTGTTAGTATACTAATTAAGCTTGAAGCATTTAGAAGAATAACGTTTAAAAAGGGCTGCTCTCATACACCAATATACATATATATGTAAAGGCGCTCACCAATCTTCCAGAAACAACCGCACCAAACATGTTCATCTCGATGCTACTAAAGGAACACAGGCCAATCGGTCTCGTACTAATCTTCGGAGAAGATGATCGGCACACGGATTAGGTCACCTACATTAAATTCCACACATGTTAAACCTCCTGCTAAATTATCTAGCTGACACTAACAACATACCACCGATACCACCTCTCTCTCTCTCTCTCTCTCTTGCGCACCAAACAATGTCGTAGAACGTCGTAGAACGTCCTAGAATCTGTCGTATGCATCACGGATCAGAGGTGACGGATTATCAGCATAATTGTTGTGGCAGGCCTGTGCCGATATTGTTATCCGTGATGGTTCCAAACACGGAAGTCATGCGAGACAAAGGGACGGAAGCCATGAGGAATGCCTGATGGAAAAAGAGGACGGCCTGCCAAAAAGCGAAGGAGGCAGATTCAGTGGAGATTGAGCCCGATCCAGAAATGATGCAGTCCGTAAGGAGCATCAAGAGGTCCCCAGGGGAGAAGCAACAGTGATGCCGGTCGGTGTACACGTTGTAACGTGTATAGCTAGGCAACGGCGCGATAAACACCTCGGCTTAAGGGCTTGTCAGCAATACATGATCATTGCTAGGTAACGACTCAGTAAGCATGTTAAACATTAATCACTATATATTTCGGCCATGGGTAACAATCCTCAGTTGTGAACATACACAGTCATAAATATTGTCACGTGTAGGAGGGTACGCGCGACGAAATGACGGGTTCTAGTTTGGATGATCGGATTTATTAACAGTTTGGTTACACGCACTCTCTCAGTTACACTCAAATCACAGCGCTGTCCCTGATTTACATATGCCTTATAATCCACTGTTGTGTCACACACACACACATGAAGTCTTCTAAATCAAATTTTACATCCTCATAGGCAACCTTCTGTATTCCTTGATCCGCTTCGCTTGCTTCTGCCACTCTCAACTGCTCGTAATTCATACTCATACTGAATCCACAGTCAGAGTTACTTTACGACTGGTGTTTTGCCGCCAATCAGTTCGTCTTGGAGTCTGGCCCCTTGAGGCCCATGACCAGGGATTTTTTTTTCCCCCCGAACTGAACTCTTGCGGTAATGGTCCTTATGTAATATCCTCTAACGAGAAGATGGATTTTTCTCATGAATACACTTGACCTTTCATCAAGTGTATATTTTGCACATATAACATGTTATCAAAAATTCTTCCTTTTGCACTACACACAAGCCCTCTTGTCAGTTCAGGCTTTACAGAGCAGATCATGCCTAACTTACATATCTCATGCTACAACAAAAACCATTTGAATGGTCATAAGCTTGACCACCGCCAAATTTAAGCCTCTTATATTTTCTGTGTCTGGCTTCACCTTGTCCTATACCTCGAACATGTTCATTCTCATGATTTTGTATGACTTCTGCTTGTCGTGTGCACAATTTTGTTATATAATCGTACACATACGGAAAGTTGAAAGCTGTATGGAAGTCATGGAGTGGTGTGCACCTTCGAAAATTTCAAATGGTGCACAAAACCTTGCTTTGCATGCGCTGCAATTTTAGGAGGTAGGTGTCTGCTGCTAATTCCCAGGCAGGACAAGCATAAGTCATTGATCTGATCAGTGCCTTATAGAGGGTTAGTTTAATATTTGCGTTTAAACACTCACTTTTGAATAGGGAGCAGATTCTAATAAATGTTCTGAAGGCCTTGGCTTCAATCATTTCTATGTGAAGTCTCCATGTAATACTCCTATCGAAGATTACACCCAGGCATTTTACATGATTGACAAAGGTAATATTTTGCCCATTCAGTGTATGGGTCTGAGGGGGCCTAAATCTATTAGAAAAGTAGATTGTCTGAGTTTTATCTTCACTGATTTTTATGCTGCAGCACTCATACCACGTCTCAGTAGCACTGAGACCTCACTGCAGCTTTCTGAGAACATAACCCTCTTTGCAGTCTGTCGCATATATACAGGTGTCGTCAGCAAAGAGACCACAATTAATTGACTATTTGCAGGCCAGTACATAACAAGCAAATGAGTTTAGAAGCATGAACAGTGTGTTTGTAATTTATTCTATGACACTCTTAGCACCTCAGATTACAAAGCACTGAATGGAAGAACAGTCGGTGGATAATGAACTGGATAGGTTGTGAAAGTAGGTAGTCATACGTAACTGAGATAGCAGCCTGCCATTTATTTAAAGACTGAAGCCAAACATAAAAGTGCTAATGTCCTGGTTATGATTCACAGTAGACACATCCAAAACAGAAGCCCATAGTATTAGCACTTGCGCAAGTGTGGCAACAATACTATGGCTGCTTAAATTCTATGTTAAGTGGCTGTGAATAAGGCAATACAAAACATGTAATATAAAATATTTAATAAGCAAATACACTAAAAAAGTTTTTAATACTGAACATAACTTCTTTCAGTTTTTATTAATTAACTGTTAATACATAAAACAAAGAAAACAGGAGTGTGGTTTGGAAAGTCAGTAACTCAACTTCAATAGCATAATATATTCAGATCTGGGCAAGGAATCAACAAGTCTCTTTATTAAAAGTGCATTAATATTTCACATCCGCTTTAGTGTTTACATGTATCCCTGATATAACTGCAATTTGTAAACTGTACCATTAAGTATTGCAACAATTTGTGTCACTTAGTATATTTCTGATGTAAAATTATTTTCACTGAAGTAACATTTCACTGTAAAATTTGTGGTCCTAGTATAAACCGTGCTGAGGTGGGTTGCCAAACATACCTGTCCATGAAGGTGGTGATTCCCAATTACAGTCAGAAGGGGCCTGAAATCAGAAATAAATTACTACAACATACTGAATGTATTCCTTCTTCACTGGCCAAACATATAAAACAATATGGCCTCCTGGAAGCTCCAGAAGACAACTGGCAGACAATAGTCAACAAAAACATCACAACTGTAATAAATTAAATGATGTACATAAATCTGTCAATCTAAAAATTAAATTAGAATCACCATTCTTTATTCTCCAAGGGCTGTACTTATCCAAAGCACTAGTTTATTGCCATAAAATATCAACTGTTTGATACTGGCATTGCATTTATAGTCCCGTACAAGATAAAAATAAAACGAACTTTCGACACGATACTGTACAGTTTCAAAAAAGATGGCTGATAAAAAGGATATAAGAGGAATATCTTTCATGATTTCACAACCCATGTGCAGTTACCCAGTTGTAAGAGTACTGAACTAAACCACATAGAATTCTCTCTTGTGATATTCAATTCGTTAACATGCTAGACATCTGTGGTAAGGGACTGTTAGCACTCATCCACCTCAAAAGCTAGAAGACCATCATCTGTCACCTTTCTGCACCTGCTTAGTCACATATTCATGGTTTCACTTTTTTGCCAGTGGGTGGGACCAAGTCCCTCGTACTGCGGCCACTTCTGGCCTATTGTACCAGCCCCAGATGATAGGTGAGGGTGATTGTGGAGCAATTGGTGGAACGAAGATTGGCAGGGGAAACCGAAGTACTTGGAGAAAACCTGTTCCAGTGCCACTTTGTCCACCACAAATCTCACTTTACCAGACCTGGGATCGAACCCGGGCCACCACAGTGGGAAGCCAGCGACTAACTGCTTGAGCTATGGCACGGCTTTCATATTCAGGGTTACCTCCATATCTTAAAGTAATTTTTCCAACACAGCTTGAGGACAGAACCATGATAATATGGGACCCATGAGTCTTTCGTCAAAACTGTAATGACTTCTCGGTTCCGTAAGAGTGGAAAATTTCTTCACCAGCTGAATAATCTGTATTTTCTAAAGGAAGAACCACCACCATGGAATTAGTGAAATTCTTCTGTGTTCATTGGTGTGTGTCATTTTGCCCCTGTATATTTAATGCCTTTGGGCTTCACCTCCCAATCTTCTGTTGCTTACCATGGATCAACGGAAGTAGGGTGGGGTGTACATGCCATAATTCTCCCTCTTTAAGGCTATTTGGTATAGCTGCTTATTTCATGATCACTGCATAGCAATGGATCTACATGCCACACTGCTCCATCCCTATACAAGATTTCTCCTTTCCTGAGGGCTGTGCTTTTGACATCTCTTCTTTCGTTTCAGAGGGGACCGACTTCTCCACTCGTATCATAAGACTGATTAAATTTTTCCCAAATAAAGTACAGCAAACTCTTGCTATTTCGGTTACAATTAATCCATGTCGGATAATCTGGATCAAAATATGAAAAATGCTGATCATAACTGAGTACATACTTCTAGACACATGGCATTTAGGAAAGCAAATGGGTCACTTGTCTGTTCAGACAAAACTTGACAGTTTCTTCAAACCTGCAATGCTACATTCAAAAACAAGTACAACTTCTGAGTCTTTTATCGATGCATAAATGTACTGTTTTTTTTATGGCCGTTAAATAAAAGCTCTATAGTGATATTTTGTTATTTATTTTCATCAGCACTATTTGTGTCAAAAAATTTTGTATTTACTTGTGTTCTAAGCCCTTTTGTCTTTTAGGGTTACCTTCTGCTTCATTAATCTGGATTATCTCTCAATACAAACGACCTCCAACCAATTACCATGGAACAAAAAGGGTTTAATGTATTGTATGTGCATGAATTTATACAACCAGATTATGCTGCAAGAGTTAATTTTCGCAATAGGTGAAGTGGAGACATGCTGCACTGTAAACGCACAGCAAATTATTCACTACAAAACTTCAGAATATTCCACAAAATTTGTTTACATGCTCCTTTCTGCAAGGCAGAAAGGAGTCAGTTCCAGCAGTTCCTAAACATATTAAGTTTCTGTCCCCTTTTTCCAGCAGTCAGAAACGGTGTTCTGTTTAAGTAGTTTCCACCCAATGCAGGAGAAATGCTTGTCTTTTCATTCAGTCATACAGTACACTATCACTAAGGTAAGCGGCCTCCGTAGTCTAGGAGTAATGTTCCCACCTCATGACTCAAGGTATGCGGGTTCAAACCCGGCGGAGGTCGTGGAATTTTTAAGGGCTGAAAAATTCAGGGAACAAGTCCTCTGGGAGGGACTTTAAGCCGTGGGTCCCGTGTCAGATTTACAGCACGTAAAAGATCCTCACATCTCTAGGAGACCTCTGAGCAAAATTACGCAAAGTTTCCCGCCCAAGTAGTTTCCAATGCCTCCGGTAGATGGGGAAGTATCGGGAATCACTGCCAGCCTCGCTGGTTCAACGGGGCTGATAGCGAGCACCAGTACCGGCAGGGTATGGCGACTGGTAGAATATCAAGGGGGGACGTACAATACACTATTAGTCGCAGTGCATGGGGAAACCCACCCCATCCAATAATAATAATAATAATAATCACTAAGGTAATACAAGGAGCACATTTCCATCTCAACTGAATGCCCTGTATATACATTCATTCATCCAACACAGACTTTTCTTCTTGAACACAAACTAGTCTCTTCCTGGCTTCACTGGCTAATCATCTCTCACTGGTTGCATGATTATAAACTAGTCTGAATTGTCACAATCTTATTCATAAGGAACCTAATATATTTAGCTGCAGAAGTAAAAAACAAATATACTCACAAAGTTCAACAAAGTGTTAAGATGAGTGCACAGCAAAATTGCATCTGGAATGTTATCACCTTCAGAGCAGTACTTCATAAGAACAACTGCTGGAATTCCTCCTACATTGCTGCAAATGTAATTACTTGAAAAGTCATGTATCATCCCATTACATATACTACATTATCTTAACACTACGCAACTACACACACTCGAAGCTCACTGGTACATTCCTCATTATAATTTCACATTTATACTCATAATGTCAGCTTTGAAATATTTTTATACGGATGTTCAACTTTACTTGTAAGATGAATGAAAGCGGCCTCCGTAGTCTAGAGGTAACGTTCCCACCTCCTGACTCGTAGTACACGGGTTCAAATACCCGGCAGAGGTCATCGAATTTTTAAGGGTGGAAAAATTCAGGGAACAAGTCCTCCGGGAGGGACTTTAAGCCGTGGGTCCCGTATCGTAGCTTTACGGCACGTAAAAGAACCTCATATCTCCAAAGGAGGTCACTGAGCCAAATTACGGATGTTTCCCGCCCAACAGCAGTCTCTAATACCTCTGGTAGATGGGGAAGCATTATAGATACCTCTCAGCTAGTAGAGCCGGTCTTGCTGGCTGGGCGGGACTGATGGTAAGCACCAGTACCGGTAGGATATAGAGACTCGTAGAATATCAGAGGGAAGCACAATAGATCAAACTGGTCTCGGTGCATGGGAAAACCCACCCTCTCTAACTAACTAACTAAGATGAATGAAACAACATAGTCTGAGGGCATTATAAAATGACATATTGAAATTGATATTAAAGATATTAGGGTGTGACGGTGTGGAGAGGACTGAAATGGCTAAGGACAGAATCTAGTCACAGACTAATATGAATAAGGTAATTATCCTCTGAATCCATAAAGATGGGGATCATCGTATCAAAAAGGACCCCACTCCATAGTGTAAGTGAGAAGAAGAGAAAGGGAAGTGTTTGTAGTAAATAAATACATGTAGGACAGCTGGTGTAATTCCATTTGAGAGATACAGGTAAAAGATCCATAAAAGTACAGTTAACACATTCTGTACATAAAACTGTCTCCGAACAGGATCAAATCTTAAAAGTAATGTAAAGTTATCCCTGTGCTTAAATAATTAAGTACTATGCCATGAAGATGTATGTGGGAGTGGATGTATAGAGCCACGTACTCCTGACCACAGCACTAGTTGAAGGTGAGTGGTCGGTTTCACAGCCTAGTTGTTTTACCCCAAAGGGAAAGAGTCCCCGGTACATATTGGATAGGAGGCCGGATGGCCCCCAAACTGGTCTGGATAACATGGAGAAGGAACAAATCTTACAGCGTATTAATTCTTAGCACATTTCTGCAAATCACTTTTGTCATGCCACACAATACTTATTAATTCCAAACACAGTTTAATAATACATAACTTCACCAGTTTGTATGTCCTTCCTATGGTTGATTTTGGCCCATGTTAATACCTGAGTTTTGCATCCATGTTCATAAGAAATATGAACACACAAATGTAAACCACTAATTTCAAAATAGAGCACAGATCTTCAGACTTACCAGGCATTAAAAAACTTCCATGAAATGCCACCTCCATACATAGAAATCTTCTTAGGGTCTTGAGATCCATCACATATAACAACAGAACATGTCTGATAACCTGATGTTGCTGTCTGATCCCCTAATCTGAATTATGAACAATGGAACAATAAATAGCAACACTGACAATATGATGCTATTACTGCTGTCAATTCAATTCCTGTTTAACACGGAAACTTAACAGCCCAGAGACCATTCACAAAGTTAGCACAAGTACATAAAAACAATAAAATACTTTCAAATAAAATATAAAATAAGGCAATTTATACAGCAGCAGTAGCAATTCCATGAAAAATCAGAGTTAACATTAACAGTCAAGATAATTAAAATAAGTACATTTGCAAAGGTTATGCCATTATGCGGCTTCAGGAGATTAATAAACAAATATACACATATACACATATATACATATACATATACACATATATACATATACATATGTAATAATAACATCAATAACTGTAACATATTATAAAGTATGATCAAGGAGAATGTTCTTGGTTCCAAATATGTCAACGTCCCTGCAAACAACATTAGCAGCTGATACTCATCCAGCAGAGGAACAATTTTTACATGTGGAGCAGACACTGAACAGAGTAAAGTCTCAGATATACCAAGCAGAAACTCAAAGACCAACAATTTCCAAAACAGAAGAAGAGAAATTAGAACTAAGGTAAATGTGAATAAGAAAGAGTGCATTGAGGTGATGCCTCCTTATATGTAAAGTGAGCAGACTTTTAACTCCTCCAAACAAAGAGAACAGACTTAAGAAAAGAAGCGATTAAAACGGAGGGCCGAAAACCTCTGATCGATGCATTCCAGCTTGTTGGCATCATCTGATATAATCATTCCTGACAATGGCGTGCTCAAGATCTAACAGATATAATACATAATCTGTGCATACATTCATGAGATGAGAAGGTGAAGGTAATGCTACGAACTAGACCCAGCAACTTAATATGGTTGATGTGTCTATGAAAATGAAGTTTGGGATCAATAAATATTCCAGGATATTTAATGGAGTTGGTCTGGGTTATGGAGGATGGGCAAAGTTTATAATCATAGAACATTACATTGGTTTTCCTGAAAAAGGGTATAGCTTTAGTATTACTGATGTTGAGTTTCATACAGTTAGCAGTGCACCAAACTTGTATAAAATTAATGTCAGACTGTAGTAGATTGCAGTCTTCAGGAGATTCTGATATCACCAGGCAAAAAAAATAAAACACACTCAGAGTGGGCAAATGCATCATATAAGACATTAATGAACACACTGAAGAGCAGAGATCACAGAAGAACACCAGAGAGAATTTCAAAAGGTCTTCAGGTGCCCTGATAGTCCCCTTGTATGTTGCTCCTTTAGGAACTCTGTGTAGTACAATACAGGCCTGGCCCTGCAGAGTGGTGGGGTGTGTGGCTTTCACAAGTGGTGCCCATTTATATTGCTCCACTATGTACTGTTTCTTTCCTTCACTGATTTCACCTTGGGTTCCAAATTTTCCTGGTTTTTCATCTGTGCTGTGGTGACTTGCAGCATTTCCACATAGGCCTTCATTGCCTCTTGAGTTTTCCTTATTTCAACCAGTAGGCAACATATCATTTTCTCCATTAATTCAACCAATCCCACTTCTGACACCAGTTGTCCTGTCTTAGTGGCTATACATAGCGTTATTATTGATAACTGGATTTATTAACCACTTATAACTTTTAACTACATGAGGACTTTAGCAGTCTCACTGATTTACGCGCTCTATAATGATCTCTGTAACTGCATCTCCTAGATGACCCACACAACGTGCAGATATATAAGGAGAACAAAATTCACAAACCACTAGCTGTAAATGTTTAGTTTAGCATGGCAGGTTATAATCGGTCTACATATTCATTACAGAATATTTATTAAATCCTGAAATTCTGGAAAAAAAACAGCTCCTTAGGCTACCAAAACCTCATTTAAGTAAAAAGATGGTACAATTATTGTGTTTCTAGACATTATCAAACCTATTTTTATTTAAAACAAACAGTGTTTCAGAGACTGGATTCTGTCTCCTATCTTGTGCTAGTGCTGGTGTCTGAAGGTAACGACTAGTTCTGTCAACTGCGCCCAACTGAGTAGGTTCACCTGAAGATGGAGACAGAACTCAGTCTCTGAAACACTGTTTGTTTTAAATAAAAACACGAAGATTGATCATGCCACAAAACATAATAACTGTATTAATATACCACTGACACAAACTTTTAGAAACTAAAATGATGGTGTTTTATAATATTCTGAGAAATATGAACTCAACATGCAAATTTTTAACCAGTCCTTTCCAAGGAGCAGATATATTCCTGAAGAGCCAGAAGTCATTCACACAATCAAGAATGTCCCCATCTTCAATGAAACCTATTATCCATGTCCACAAGATCCCACCACTGGTCCCTATACTGAGACAAACCCACTCATTGCTCCCCACCCTATTTCCTGAACTATTACTTGCAATATTATTCTTTCTTCTATATCACAGTCTCAAGAGCAGTCACTTTTCTTCATGCTTGCCAATGGAAGGTTCACTGTAATACTTGCTTCAAATTGTCACTGCTTTAGAAAACTTTTTAATTAATTTAAGGCATGTCAGTATGTACTCTGATGTTATAATTATTAGCTTTTCAAATGCTCTTTATCCTTCGCCACTTCATACCTTGTGTTCCACACTCCTCTCTTTCATTCACCTGTTAAAGAGTTTAGTAAATGTTTTTGACAATGAAGAGATGATTTTGAAATACATCAACTAAAGTCTAACAATGTTATATAAAATATATTAAAATAGGCTGTATATTTAAGAAGTGTCTCTTACCTTTGAAGTACGTCACATTTCTCTCTAAAGGTCCGAGACGCCACAAATTTCACAGATGGCCCTGCGATTTCACTATCATTTCTTGTGTAGTCAAAGATGCCACTAAGGATCACAATTTTATCAATGTAGTTTTCTTTTATCCATTCAGTTATCCTGTCCACAAAATCTTGACTTGCTTCCTGTACAAAAGTTCAAAACTACAGTGATATATAAAATAATTCAAATAAAACTTATGAAGGCAGAAGAAACATGACACCTTGCCCAGTAGTGATTAAGACAAACCTTATCAGTGCCGAAGATATCCAGGGCCGCACTATGGCCCTGGGGTTCACTCAGCCTCTAACAAACACGAGTACCAGGAATTAATGACATAATTTTCCTGGGGAGTAAAGCAGGGCCGGCGCGTAAGGCTGGCAACCTTACCGCCATCTTTGAGCTGATTGTCTAGATAATGTAGGACCCTCAATGTCTCACAACCCTATGGGCCTTCACGGCCTGGTACAGGGTTAGCTTTACTTTTACTTACTTTTTACTGATCATAAATAGATCTTGTATTAAATTTATGTACTTGGGAGTTAAATTTAAATAATTCCATATTTGTTATGATAAACATAGAGATTGATAAAATATAATGTGCTTGTAGGGGGAGGATACCCAATTCTCCAAATAATCTACGACATAAGGCTCTCTTTGCTGAGTTTGTCATAATTCTGATTATCTTTTTTTGTATCCTAAATATTCTTATGCTGTATGAGAAACTGCCCTACAATATTATCCCATAATTTAATATGGAACACACATACGACTAATATACTATTTAATGCCTCTAATGATAAAATAGATTTGACTGATTGGATTGCAAAACAAGATCTGTCTAACTTAACTAACGTATCTACAAGATCTTTCCATGTTAAGAAATTATCTATTTTCAGTCCCAAGAACGATACATTAGAATTGCTTGAAATTTGGTTGTTTAGATAACTGACCTGAATATCCAGTGTTTTGCTATTTTTTGTTTGAAACTGCAAAAAATAGGTTTGTTGTTAAATGATTTGTTGTGAAACATTCATTAGTTATATCAAATAATGTATTTATTTTGATTTTGAAGTTTGTAGGATCCTTGTCTGACATGATAATGCGAACAAGATACGGAGCCCTCAGACACACCATATTGTATTTCTTCCATTGTTACATAAAATTACTCTCTGACATCTTCCTCTTAAGTAGGATCTCATAAGTTTTTGTGCAATTCCTGTAATTCCATAAAACTCCATTTTTAACAGCAATATATCATGACATATGCAGTCAAAAGCCTTCTTCAGGTCACAAAAGATTCCGCACACTATGCAAATCACAGAAGTCAAGGGACCTTCATTTCAGGTTACAAGTTGTCAACAGACATTAGATCTACGTGACTGAGAACCAGGATTTCCTCCAACCATAATTCAGCAACTGGTTACACTGGTAACATCTACAGCACGCGTGTCAACAGCACAAATTGTATGGACACAACTGATTACAAATTCTTCTACAGTACATACCTCTTGGTCTCTTTCACTTCCACTCTGACTGATTAAGATGGACTACTTGTCCACAAGTATTACTAAGTCCACATATAGACATTTTCTGAGTTGAGCTTGTAACAATACTTGTGTATCTTCCTTTAAAATTTTGGATATATATCTGATCAAACTGATAACATATTAATCAGGGGCCTGAGATTACATAAAGATGCAAGTTACATGACTGATTACTTACATTCATACATATTTAACTAAAAATTGTGGCTACAATTTGAAGGTAAAAATACAGTATTTAACTTCATTCCAAAATTTCTGATCTAAATGTAGGTATATAAATTATGCAGAGGCATAAATTGCATGAAAAAATGCTTTATATACAGTCATGCTACAGAGTTCTCTCTTTAATGAAGACTTAATTCCTTATGTATTGCGTATAATATGGAGTTTGCGTACATTTCATGTTTATTTCTACAAACATTTTACATCATTCTGTAAATAATGTAATGATCCATAAATATGTTCATATATTTGGAATGGTATTTTGTTAATAGTGCCAGTGAATTTTTACTGTTTGTCTACTTTTATTGTTGTTACAATTCTTGCTGTTGCTCTTACAGTATTCTTCAATAACATGACTGAAGACATAGGCTATTTGGCTATTCTGAATTTCCCTATTTTCACATGATCAAATTTCCAATTTTGAAAAATATCAAGAGCATGGGTGGCAGTCATCAGACAATATTAATTTTTGGATCCAGCCACTGTCATGAAGAAATACATGGTGAATGAACAAAAGTGTCAAGTTTGTTTCATCCTGCATCATATTAAAAAGCCAAAGAAATTAAAGTTGAAGATTTATTGCAACCCTGTTAACCCTACAGTTGTGTCTCTTTCTGCATCTGAGACACTCACTAACCAGTTGCCCCATGTCTTCTGTTATAATGTAACTACTATACTCAACATACCTGCATGATTGGGGAACGTATCTGGAAAATCACCAGCTTCCACTGTCCTGAATAAAATACTGAAAGTATCATATAAATAAATTATTACATTAGATAAAGTGAAAGTGGTTGGTATCAGATGCAGGGGCGGCCCGTGTACAGGCACTGTGGAACTGCAGCACCCCCAATTTCCACATGATATTAGCGATAACATTTATATAATGAGTCCTTTTTTCTTTAATTCTTTCTTTATACTTGTACAATACAATATATAATCCTTAAGCTTAATGTCAGTAGCCAAATCTTTGTATAGAACTGTGTGCTTCTGGAGCAGCACCCCTACTAATTTTAGCTACGAGCCGCCACTGATCAGATGTCATAGTACTTATCAAAAATATTTAACACAATGTGAATGTCCATGTCATTCATCAAACGCAGAGTCGATTTTTAAGTTACAAAAGAGAGCCATTAGAGCCATAATGCAGGTAACCAAAACTACTAGCTGCAAACAGTATTTCAAATCACTACACGTATTACCTCTACAATGCCTCTATATATATGAAACACTAGTTTACATGAAATCCAACTCGAATACCTTCATAACCAATGCAAATGTACACTCATATAATACAAGAAGGAAAGAGGACTTATACATTGTTCCATGTAATACAAGCTTGTGTAAAAACAATTTCAATAATCTTGGTCTTCGTCTTCTAAACCACCTACCGCAATATATTAAAGAGATACCAGCATTATGTAAATTTAAAATGACTTTGAAAACATTTCTATTAAAACATTGCTTTTATAGCATAGATGAGTTCCTCTCCTATGTGGACAAGACTTAGTTCACATTAGGATCATATAATAATTTAAAAGTAAGAACAATTGAGCTTAGCTTAACACACACTAGGAGTGTATACTGCGTAACTCTCTTCTTGCAGGAAACANCACAAGAATGACATGTCTTATATCATGTATAATGATCCATGGACACGAAATAAATGAAATGAAATGAAATGAATTATATATTCAAACTATTTTCAGATTTCACTTCCTTCTGCACTGGGAGGCAAACTATTCCGTTTCACTTCTTTACTCTGCAAATAATTACCTTTCAAGAGATTAATTAATTCTGTCCGGTGTGACTGACGAGCTCCATCAGTCACACTGAATGGAATTAATTAACCTTTTGTAATATTGTTAGTGTGACAGACCAGAATGAAACAAATCAAACTTACCTTTCAAGGCAAAATAAGACATCAGAAATTTAAAATTCAATGTGCTGTATCAATGTATGAGTTTCTCTAGTCATGCTTCATCAAGCATTTCCAACTGGACTTGAGCCCCAAACTTAGTACTGTACATATACAAGAAAGTAAATACCAAGAAATATAAAAAATCCAGGAAAACTGACATGCATTCAAATCCCAGCACAGTTATTCATAAATTTTGCACCATCTAAGCAACAAGTCAGGCAGAATGATGAAAAAAAATAAAAAATAAAACACCTATTTTGGATTTGATAATCCCATGGTAGTCACCATGAAGAGGACAGTCTTCTGGGCTACAATGCTTCTGTTGGTTGGAAATATGCTCCTCCAAAATGTTGGGTACTCTCTGCATTACATGACATTACAATCCAAAAGCCATACTGTTCAACAGGATACCTGCTTAAATGTCTATGTATCAAGTCCATCAATGATGCAACAATCATTAAAACATTCACCATTTAACACTAACACAACATGTAAGATTTGAGGCTTTCACGGCGGTGACTATGAAGAAAGCAGTCTTCTGGGATTTGGCACCGTGTATATGTGGTGTTAACCGACGTTTCGGAGGAACGTATCGCCCCCATCTTCAGGGTTGAAGAAAAAAAAAAAGATGGGGGTGATACGTTCCTCCGAAACGTCAGTTAACACCACATATAC